AGTCAGTATATGAACTAGTCAGACTACTGTTCGTGTCTAAGTTTAGCAAAAAGGTCTGTTTTGTGGTGTTAGCCTATTTGAAGAGGAATACTGTCTCCAGGCTGTAGGTTAGGCAGCTCCCACCCTCTTAGTTTTGTATCGTGTTTTTTCGCTGCTATCACTTCTTTTTGTCTTCAGTCTAACAGTAGTGGACTCGGATGGTGCCAGCAACTCCACCACTGCAAACCTGACTGTGAACAAAGCAGTGGATTATCCTCCAGTGGCAAATGCAGGCCCAAACCAGGTGATCACCCTGCCGCAGAACTCCATCACCCTCTACGGGAACCAGAGCACTGATGATCACAGCATCGTCAGCTACGAGTGGCTGCTGAGCCCCAACAGCAAGGGAAAGGTGATGGAGATGCAGGTCAGTAGCAGTCTCCTGTGCTCGTCCTGAATTACCCAACGACTGTCTTATTTCTGTAATTAATTTTCAAATGGTGTGTATTACTATGGTCACATATGCGGAATAAGAAAGTCCTTGAATCAGGTTCACAGTGCGTGTGTTTGTACAGGGTTCCCCAGAGATGTCACTTGAATTGGTAATTATTGAATCTTCTTAATATGTGAATGTGTTTTCTCCAAGGGGGTGAGGACACCAGTCCTGCAGCTCTCTGCGATGCAAGAAGGTGACTACACTTACCAGTTAATCGTGACGGATTCTGCGGGGCAGCAGTCTACAGCAGAGGTCACTGTTATAGTCCAGCCAGGTGAGCTGCTCTTCGAGAGGACTGCTGTGGTGAATTAGTAGAAAAAGTAATGAAGGCTGCTTTAATCCAGGACCTTCCTGACCCTGGTATATTGCTGATAAACTGACGAAAGATTACGGGAATATTGCCTTAGTCAGTTGTTTTCTTAATAACTATACTGTACTGTATATAATATTACTCAACCATAATGACAGTGTTGTATTTACTGGAAATTGTTTCTGCCCATAGTGCTAAGGAGCAGGAGCAGGAAAAATGA